TTGCCGTGATCGTTGGAATATATATATATATATATATATATACATAAAAAGCTCGATAAATATTGTACCCTAAAGCCTTCTAATGTATAACCTTTACACCTACTTCGAATAATCTTGGTGGGCAATTAATCAAAACTCCGAACTCTCAAAAATATGAAGAACACGATTTTCCTCTTCCTTATAGGAACCTTAAAATCGGATCATACACATTAGGAGGAGATTGGGACATGGTGTACTTATAGGCTATATTAGGGACCTTAAGGAAATGCTAAATATGGGCTTATCCATTAGGCTTAAGAATCCTAATTATGCTCCATATCCTATCCCATCTAAAGTCTTATTCCTCCTAACCTTTATTACTTTCTAGAAGACTCCATAGTCTCCTAGCCCTAGGTAATATTCTAGAAGGAATATTCTTCTCCTAATAGAATATTAATTATGGAGTATAATTATTTCCTAATTCCTAAATAGAATTAAATAATAAAACATTCCACTAGAGTAATATTATTGCTCTCCCTATTTAGCTCCAATTTATTCAATAAATTCGAACCTCTACTTGATTAAATTATATTAATCTAATTGATTGATTTATCTCACCATGTTTAAGATATAACGTCCGTTGATTAATTAAATTACTGACAAATAATTAATCAACTTCTTATTCATTCCGAAACTAGTATCACTCAGATCCTTAAACATTATGTCGGATAACACATCCGCCTGCAGGGCTTGACATAATATTCATTCCTGAGCAAATTTCGGGGACGTCATCAACCCAACGCACTGGGACACAGTGACCGTAAATAATTTATATGGTACATTATATAAACACACTTACTTACCAAAATACCGAGTATGTCATCCTAATAGAAGAGGAATCACCCTTGATAAATCAAATAAATAAGTAAGGAATACACATGGCCGTTTTATATTATCCTACAGCTTAAGAGTACGCATCAGTTACTGAAGGTCTAGATTACAACAACGATCAGAGTCTTATAATCTTATCATTCTTTGGTCCTGTTCAACACCTATCATAAGTGCTAGTGTATTTCTCCAGTCAAAGACCAACCGAATCAAGAATACACTACTGTCTTTATCCAAGAGGGGTCTCACTGCCTGTCTAGACTGTGAACGAATAGTTTAGTTTTACAAGGAACTGATAGGTGATATTTTTGTTCGAAACAATTCGAACCACACTATCTCAATGTAAGACAAGGAGTATGATTGCATAAATAAATAAACTGCAAGCATATGTAAAATGACCGAAACATGATGGCCATATCAAAATGGAATGGATAGAATCTGTAAAACCGAGCTTTTACAGCATACCTCTAATAGGCGGGGCCTAGTCGGCGCTTAGGCGGGGCCAAGAAATCAAGAATAAATACCTTTATTTTATTTATTTTCACTACATATAAAATAAAATTATATCAACTTATAATAAATCAACACCCCTAAGTCCAAATAATAATATTAGTATATTATAAAGAAAACATGATAACAAAATAATGAAATTAGTATTTAAAAAATAAAAAAAAAATTGAAAAATTTCTACCGAGCCCGCCTAGGAGCGCCTAGGTCCGCCTAGGCGCTACCAAGTCGCCTGGCCGCCTAGCCTTCCTAGGAGCGCCTAGGTCCGCCTAGGCGCCGTCTAGCCGCCTGACCGATTTCTTGAGCCGATTTATGCAAATCGGAGGCGGTCGGGCACCGCCTAACACCTAGGCGCCGCCTAGGCCGACTTTTAGAACATAGATGATTAGTAAGTAAATTAAGGTTGATGTGATGTGTCAGAATGATTGATCGATATTATTTAATTATATTGATAATAGAGAAGCTAGAATTAAGATTGAGTTAGAAAAGAGAAATGCTATAAGCACATAACTAGTGTTGCAACCCGTGCGATGCACGGGACACAGTACAAAAAATATTTTATTAGCAAATATTTAAGATAATATGTCAATTCTCTTCGACACAACATATCAAGTCTGTAATATTTAATATTTATTTAAATATTTTTATTGATTTTTCCAATTTATTTTTGTAGGTATGGATTTTATTAGCTATTAATTTATAAAATATTATAAAAGTGTAATATTTTCAAAATATGATGATTGTTTACAAATTACTTGCATGCACTTGTATAGTTATCGATTATCAAAACTGTAATATTTTTAATATTTTTACAAGTTATTTTTTAAAAGTGTCTATATTTTATTTATTTAATTCATATGTTTACAATGTATATAACAATGAATGGCTTGTTAAGCAAGTCTTTGATAACAATGACAGTGCAGCAATTTTAAGCATCTCATCCCTACATCCTGACAGACCAGATAGGCTTCATTGGGGACTTGATAAAAAAGGACAGTTCACAGTGTCCAGTGCCTATAAGCAATTGTCTAGCATTAAACTTGCTCAGCTAGACTTCCCTGAGAGCAGCTCCAGTTCAAAAATTTCAAAAGCAGTGCAATACAGACTTTGGAAAGTTAAAGTTGCTGGAAAACTCAAACACTTCCTCTGGAAGTGCATCACAGGTACATTACCAGTTGCTAGTTTGCTTAATAAGAGGAAGGTTAACATTGATCATATTTGTTCTGTGTGTGGAGACTCCTCTGAAACTATTGAACATGCACTACTGAATTGTACAAGAGCAATAAGAGTCTGGGACCTTTCTCCAGTGTCATGGGATGGAATTGCTAACTGCACTGATTCTTTCAAATTGTGGTGGTTCAAGATATGCTCCCTTGATCATTCTGAAGTTGCCGAAGCTAGAATTCAGCTATCCACATACATTCTTTGGTGGCTTTGGAAGTCAAGGAATTTGTGGGTATTTCAAAGCTCCATGATGCCAGCAGCAGCTGTGGTAAAGGTGGCTCGTTCAGACTGGACACATTTCACCTCAGCTTTTGGACTGTTGGCTTGATTTGTCTGTATTTAATCTTTTGCTTGTCTTTCTTTTTTGGAGTTCAACTCCCTTTCTAGGCTTTTAGCAGTAGAATGAGGTTGTTCTTTGGATTTTCTGTCTTTTTCAGTTTTTTTTTTCCTCTTGTAGAGGTTCTAGACCATCTAGGATGTGTCTCTCACTTTTATATTTGTATTGCCATTGTACTCTGAACAATGTATTAGGACTATGTCCTCGTTGAGTTTTTATGATATTATCTCTGTCGTTTCGGGAAAAAAAAATATAATAATTTAATTAAAAAACAATTTAAGCATTTTGATATGTGATATATTTTAATGACTACCAAATGCTATAATGTCAATTATTACTTCACTATATAATTTTAGTTACTTATTTTTCTTTATAAAATAGTATATAATAAACATTTTACTTTTTAACACCTTGAATAGTGTTTTTTATGTATATAAATATTTTAATGTGAAATTTATAATTCTTAATTTCACTCGACCATCAAAAGATAATTTATTAGTATATAATTTAATTTGTAAGTAGTATTATCAATACAAAAGATATATTCAAGAGAGTTATAATTTATAGACTGTTAAGTTGAATACATTTTATCAAAATCTATCAATAATTTAAATTATTCATTATGGTAATATAATTCAAACACAATTTTTTAAATTATTTTATTATATATTTTAGGTGCTTTTGATTAATGAACATAATTCATATCTACAATCATGAAAAATAATTAAATTAATAGAATTAATTTCTTATTCAAAATACGTGTAATCAGTTAGTCATCTATATTTAATGTGTATTAGCCAAAACTATGTCAATAATGGTAATATATATAGATTCATTATATGGATATACATATTAATTTTTATCAACCTATATATATACCAAGTGCCACTTTTATTACTTGAGTGTAATTTTAATTTTTTCTATTTATTAAAAGTATATAGTTTGAACTTTATTTTTCTCACAAATAAATACCTTTTAATATATATATGTGTGTGATTATGATATTGCCAATTTTTATTTCTTTTTTAAAATACTCACCCATCAAAACAAAACATGTACTAAAATATATATTTGGGTATATTATTAAAACAATTAATAAAGATCTTCACAACCCTTTGAGATTAAATTTTAATTCAACAACCATCCAAACAAAACTTGTACTAATACATTTATACATTTGAGCATATTATTAAAACAATTAATAAAGATCTTCACGACTCTTTGAGATCAGATTTTAATTCGATCTATAATTGGTATAAATTATCTCAGATTTCTTAATGAATTGATCAATTTTAGTTTTACATAATAAAAATATTAATAAATCAAATAATATTTTATGTCAATTAAGTCGTTCCTGCGCGTGAATACCCTATAACTATTGATAAAAAAATAAAAATAAAAACTAGATGATAAATATTTAACATCATTACACATGAAACCTTACTAGTTTATTAATATACTAGTAAATATAAGGATAAACAAACCAAAAAATATATAAGAGTGCAAATACCATAAAAAAAAGTAAACAAAACCCGCGGGCGGGCCAATTTGGCCCACGAGCTAATGCGGGCGGGCCACGGGCTATGTATTTTCCAGCTCGTAGAAATGCGGGTCATTTTGGCCCGCCCCGTTTGGACCGCGGGCCAGCGCGGGCCAGAGCGGGCCGGGCCAGACCGGCCCGTTTGACAATGCTATCCATTATATAGATATAGATATAGATATAGATACTATACATAGAATTACACATAACACTCACATAAGTGAACTCTACTAAAAATAAAAAATTAAGTGGAGTACTCTATGTGAGTGTTGTGTAGATGACTTTTGTGGATTTGTTGTCACCATTGCAATCAATCATCAATGCTTGCCATTTGGTGTGGTTAAATAAATAAAAATGCCATATTTATTTATCTATTGTTATTTGCTTGAAATTTAATAGTGTGCTGGTTACGAGTCTTTTAATTCTTTCTTCTCAGTCAATCAAAGCTCGCCTCTACGTCTCTCTCTCTAACCCATTTTCTAGTTCATCTCTGTACCTCCTCCCTCTCCATATTGCAACGAGAAAATGGGTTCCGAAGGATCTTCGCAGGTTGTTGGTAAGCTTTAAATCGCTCCATTTCAATCAGATCAAGTCTCAATTTCTTCTTTTTAGTTTTTTTTTTCTCTTTCCTTTGGACAGTTCAATATGAAGAAGCACTAGGGTTTATGTACCGAAAGGGCTAATTTTTGTCACCTTATGTTGTATCTTATTACAGCATTTAACAATTCTTCGGTTTCTGTTTTTTTGGACTGGTTTATGATTCACTATGTCCACTTCAACTTTAAAGTTTCAAAAGGTGAAATTTTGATGTCCGAATTGCTGATTGCATTAACAAATGTAGATGGGGGGTAATTACTAACTAGAATTGCGAGGCTATAATCTGGTCAATGTATGGACTGAATTTCTGTTATATGCATGCATATGACAATTATGAGGAGAAAACCGCGGTCGAAGATCTTTTTGGGGGGGAGATTCTAAGATATAAGAATTAAGGTTAGGTGAACTGAAGTCTTGTAGAGGGAAATTGGTTTCTTGTTTCAATGTGGATAATTAACCCTCGTGGAAATGCAGTCACTTGGTATATTTTAAGGAAGTAGCTTTGAAGTATAGTTCGAGCATACAACACTACTAGACGGCTGGCTGGTTTGTGGAGTTTCAATATAAAGTAGTCCCTTGCAAACTTCACTAGATGCCCCGCTTATTGCTGAGGGGTAAAAAATTTGGTTCAGAATTCAACAATTTTCTTGACATTTATTGGTTATGTGCGAATAGTTTCAGACTGATACTTGATTGGATTGAAAGTGAATTAGATACATGGTAGGTGGAATTCAGTGGTTGAGGATGGAAATATATTTTACAGAACGTAAATGCATAGTTCACAATCATCCATTGATTTTTTCTATCGACTCTGTTTTGGTTCGTGTCCCATCATACATGTACTTAAAATGTTTTAATCAAAATTTCCCTGTATCAATTGCGATGACAAGTTCTACTAGAGGTAGAATAAGATTCTTAGCCTAGTATGTTTGATGGCTTAAATTTAATCCTTTGGTAACATTTAACGATCGTAGTTATAACAACTCTGAAGTTATATAAAAATCACATTTTGTTGCTCTTTTTATGGATATACTGAACTAATGTTCACATTGGTCATATTATTGATGAATGCCACCATGTTTACCTTACTTTTTTTATAGTATATGATAAGAATTTGTTTGGAAGTTTATTTTTTGTTTCTGGTGTTGTGGTTTTTAGAGTAACGAACAACATTACAATATAGTTGTCATCGCTCTTTACGAATATTCTTATGTTGATCTTTTATTAACGATTGGCATGCTTCACATAAAATTCAACTGTCCATGTCATAAGTCTCAATAGCACCATTATGTTGAACTACTTTTGTTTAGGAATTTTTTCTGCATAAGCAGTTTTGTAAGTTTGCAGTTGTGCTTTTAGTTGAAGGACTCATGTTATAGGATGTATTAGAGGTGAATACAACATAATTATGTTAATAATTACATGATCTGTATATGAATGGCTTTTCCTAATTTCATACTTGTTATGCTGCTGGATGTTTATGAGAAATTGCCTCTACTTTCAGTGCCGAGGAATTTTCGTTTATTGGAAGAGCTTGAGAGAGGAGAGAAGGGGATAGGTGATGGTACAGTAAGCTATGGAATGGATGATGCTGATGACGTGTACATGCAATCTTGGACTGGAACCATCATTGGTCCTCCTAATGTGAGTTGTCTCTTTTATTTCACTTGTGTCATGTTCATAGTAATATGCTCATGTTCCAGGTACTTGTTTGCCTTGCATTTTTAAGGATATCCTTGAATTGTTATTATTATTATTTGGTGAACGTGAGGATTTGGTGTCAAGTTAATCATGTGCAATTGTTTAGATGAAATGACTTGCTTAATGAAAGTATGTCAGTTGATAAACATTCTTTCACTTGTTTGTTTGTTTCTTTTTTT